ATTTACTATTAGGACTGACGATCCTTTCGGTCCGTCCTAAAAAGGACTGGACCGGCCTAGTCCCTGGACGGACCGAAGGACCGTCGGCCCGGACCGGACCGATTAACAGCCCTACTTTTCGTTGAAAATAAAATATGGTTTGATCGGAGAAAAACTGGATTTAAATTAAAAGAACAAATGTAGTGACATTATTCATAATTGTATAACACCTTTTCAAAAAAATTACGATTTCGGATTAAATAATCGGTTTAATACAATTTCACTAAATCCCGATCTTTTAAATTTTTGAGTTTCATTATCCAATCATCAATTCATCCATTCGTCCATATTGTAGTATAAATAGAACCAAATCCACCTTTCGCTATATACGTGTCATTTTGAAAGTTTTCATAAGGCACCATTCTACTGTATTATTTTACCCGGTATAGAGATTTCAAGTTGATATTGTTGAATAAGTTTATCATTAAATTTATTACCAGATGTCCAACTAACAAATTCATTTTCAAGTTGTTTCCGAATACATTTAAATTAATATTTATCTATTAGTATAACTGAATTTTACAATGCGGACATTTATTATCATCTGCATTTGATATGTTATGCCACGAACTCTAATTGTTCTTTCCAAATCTGCAGGAGACTTTTCAAATCTTTTCAGTTATCTGTAAAGCATTCTGCGACACTTGAATATAAATGATCAATTTCTAAGTGCTATTCAATCTGCAAGTGTTAGATTCCAAGTGCAAAAGAATTATTTGACTCAATTTCTAAAGTTCTATATTTAATCTGCAGTATTCGATAGATAGATCCATGGTTTGTAAACGCAAATTCATCATTTGTTTGAGTTATCTATTGTTGTAACATCTTATAAGTACTGTACCTCCGCGTCTTTTTAGTATATCAACATCATTTGGTTCAATTTCTAATGCTCTATTTAAATCTACAAGAGATTCTTCATAACAATATAATTAGAGATGGGCACGCGCGTGATCCGCGCATGATCCCGCGCGGGATTTTTAATATAAAATTGTCTGGCCGGCATTACCATATAATCTGACTGGCATTAATATAATATCTGGCCTGCTTTAACATATTCGCTGTAAATTCTCGAAATATCGAATTTTGACCCGAATTAAGCTTAATTTGGGCCGAAATTCGAAACAATGCCCACCGGTAGTACAATAAATTTGTTTTTTTCTATTGGACACAAAAAATTAAGAACCTTGCAGATTTGTGATCCAATCCCGCGCGGGATTTTTGAAAAATTGCGATTTGCCCATCTCTAAATGTAATTATATATAAGCTTCGCTGCGACAATTAAATGCTACTATGTTGTTTGGTTCAATTATTCCAATCTGCAAGTGATTTTTCATATTGAAACAACCGCTCATATGTAATTCCGCGTCTCACAAAGTGAGTATACATTATTTGGACAATTTCCAGTGATTCTTCGAGTCAATCTAAAGTCTCCACGACTTCTAAGAGCCATTATATAATTTGGCACGATCTCTAATAATACTTTATTTAATTCAGCAAATGATCCTTCATATAATTCTAATATGCGGGATGCACTTAAGTGACTGTTAAATGCTAATACATCATTTGACTCGATTTTCAAAGTTTTATTGAAATTTGCAAGAAACTCTTCATAATGACCTAATATTTTATAAATAAGATCATTATATGATTCTTCCATCATACAATAATTAAATCCTCGACCTTCTAATGCAACCACAGCATCCCAACGTTTTATTTAATCAGCAGGTGATTCATTAAAACAATATAATTCATAATAATAATAAAAACCACGATTTCCAATGTTAGCAATTGGACATAATAAAATTTGATTGTGTTTTCAAGCACCTCAATAACAAATCTGATTGGTCAGTTTAATCAAACTAGCCAATCAGATTTTTTATTAAATTCATTGAGGTGGGTGCCTGAGAACGCCCTTTGTTGAACATACTGCACGTCCAATTCTAATTAGTGTTTCGGGCGAATCCGAAATATTTTGCCTGGGGAAATATCAAAATGTGCAACATTTTGTGAAATTATTTCGCTACGTACACTGAAATTTATTTCCTATTGGAGAAATATTTCGGGATTTTGGAAATTAGTTTAGCCCGAAACAATAATTCCAATTTACTTAAGAATTGATAGATAATTTTAAGTGAAAATATGTTATATGGTTCGACCTTATCTAGTTTGTAATGAGTAACTCCACGACTTTATGAGTGTATCTCTTGGATCAATTTCCAATGATTTGTTTTCGATTCTTCATACGTTTCAGTAATTGAAAAGTAATCCCATGACTTCTTATGATACTGTATATTGTTTGGAAAATTTCAAGTAATTCTTTGTACATACCTGAATACTGAAGAATTATTTCAAGATCATTAAGTGTGTCTATTTCTGTTGACATATCCTCTAAGATTTAAGGGCATGACGGGTATTATGGCGCGGGAGATATTGTGGCGCACCTACGTTTTTTATCAAAAAAGTGATCTGAAATGAATGATTTTCGTACGAATCTAATGATCGGAAAGCTAGGTATTATGGTGTAGCTAATATTTGGTAACACAATATTGAATATCAATGTGTATAGTGAGTGCCCACTTGAAAAAAGCATACAATTTTTAGATAGTTTATTGTTTAAAATACAAAAATTTTTCTTTATCATTAGATGGTAAATTGAATGTTATTTTGATAATATAAATTTAGTGAATAAATTAATTATTTCTACTATTAGCAATTCTTAAGTGCGCCATAATACCCGTCCTACCCTTACGTATTATGGCTTGAAACTTGACTTATTAAATTATTGGCCCTTTTCGCCATATACGATCATGCAGTGCAATTGTTTATCACCGAGTGTAGAATAAACCCCCAAAAAAAGAAACAAGGTTTAAAATTTTTGATTATCCTGGTCGGCCGGGTTTGTAGCTGTACCGGAATTGATAAATTTTGTTATTGAATTCCAAGACAGAATTTTGATGTCCTGTTAAGCACTATACCATGAATAGATAAGTCTTATTAACTTTTGGTAACCTTGGTAATTTGAAAAATATCAAATATACATTATTTTACTTTCATTTTGGTCTAGTCTTGTTAATATATTGTTTAATACACCAAAATTTTAACTATAGTTATTAATTACAGCACGTATTATACGTACGTACGTATTTTTATTCGTTATCTGTTATATTATGACATTCCATACATAGTAAATGATTTTTTCTAAAATTAGCACACTATCTATCAAATCTTGAACCATTTTCAGGTGCGATGAGAGTTTAGAAATCCTGTATAATATGCAACTGCCTCGATCTAATATATTTAAATAAAAGCAGAAGATCTAAAGTACCATGCCCATGCAGCCAATGCATATAGTATAACTTTGGTGACTGAAAAGTCTAGAAAAGTCTAAACGGCTGAAAGTCAATTATGATAATTTCCAAATTATTTAGTTAGACTCTAAATTTTTACGAACGCCGAACGATGCCAATCCAGGTCTCCTAATGTGTCAGGATATCGTAACCTTGCAATTAATTATTACCACATGTTTGGCACCAAGAATAGGTAGTATGACCAAATCGATGTATCTCTTGCAGTTTTTTTTTTTAACCCACATTTTTGGGTTTCACCATTTCTCATATTGATATCATTTCGAAAATTTTATTTTTACGTATACGTATATTATTTAATAACAAAAAAAAAAATTAACATTAAGAAAAGTTTGTTACACACGCACATACAATAATACAGTAATATATACGTAATATATACCTCAATCAAAATACAATAAAACCTGATTTTTACTAATCATAATTTATAAAATTCATCGATAAATACCTGTAAAAAAAAAAAAAAAACCCCCCATCAAAACTTTGATTTTTTTACAAATACTCTCCATAAAATAAAATAAAATAAAATAATGGAAAGCACTATTTCTGGAAAGAACGAAAAAGAATTGAGACATTTTAATGAGGATTATAAACATTTTTCATTAGTGCGGTATGTTATTAGAAGTATCTTAAAAAATTATTTTCGTGAAACATATCAAAGTTTATTAATTCTAATGAATTTTTCAATTTTCTTTTAGAAATTTTAATCTTGCAGACTTCATTACTTTAGCAAATGGATTATGTGGTTCACACTCTATTTTTTCATGTATACATTATATGATCACAAAAGAAGAATGGTCTCTCTGGATTGGCTTACTGCTCATGCCATTGGGAATGCTGTTTGATTTATTGGATGGAAAAGTGGCTAGATGGAGAAAGTCTTCCAGCCTTTTAGGCCAGGAATTAGACTCATTAGCGGATTTGGTAAGTAAATGATGTATTAAGTTAAACGAAACGTGTACGTCACTCTGGTTATACTGACATCTGTATATATCGACATCATAGTAAAATATTTTTTTACTAATGTCTTAAATGTTGATATAGCCAGAGTGACGTGTAATATAAAAATTTTTTGTACTACTTTATTACTTGACTTGGATAATAATAGAATTGTTCATCTTTTACATATTATGCAACATTGCAGATATCATTCGGAGTTGCTCCTGCGGTGTGCGGTTTCGCAGTTGGAATGCGCACATTTGCTGATACTATTATACTCTCAATTTTTATAACTTGTGGTATTGCGCGTTTGGCTCGTTATAATGCAACTGTTGCATCTTTTCCTAAAGATTCTTCCGGTAAAATTAGCTACTATGAAGGAACACCAATTCCAACGACACTGTCTATAGTAGCGGTAATTGCTTATTTGTTTACGGTGGGAAAAATAGATGATAATTTACCAGGGGGTGTAATTGAACTATCTCCAAATATCATGATACATCCATTCGTGTTGTTATATGCATTGAGTGGGGTTGCAATGGTAAGCAAAACCTTAAGGATTCCAAAAATCTAATGCCTACAAACGCATTACATTATTACATTATTTCTATTTTAATAGAAAAACATAAATAGCTTTTTTTTTCGTGTTAATGAACTTGTAAATTTTATAAAGAATCACAATCCACTTTGATTATGAAAATTTTCATAATCTTGATAAAAAATATAAAGTCATTATAAGAACTTTCATAATCTTGATAAAAATTATAAAGTCATTTAAGAACTTTCCCTTATTCATTATTAGAAAAATTAAATGTAAATCCTTTTTCTGTATCATCGGATTTCTTGAGCTGTTCCCAAACGGATGGCTTGTTATCTTTATGTGAATCATCACGTAGTTCAACTTTCTCTGACAGTTCAGGGTAAATTTCTTAAAGTTTTTTACAAAAAGTTTCATGAATAGTTTTGCAAGATGGCCATGAATCTGATGAGAATCCTGAAATTTGTTCTGGTTTCTCACGAAGGAATTTAATTACATTCGATAAATTATGTAATCCAATAAAGTTCTGTGTCTATCAGTTAACGAGAGAAATTTAATTAATTATAATCAAAGGCCAAATATATAATGATAAAAATTAATTGGTATTATAACATACAATAGCAATAGAATCTTCGAGATTGATCACCATATGCCACCATCCATTAGGCACAAAAATCAATTCTCCTGCGCGACAAATTCCTTCTAAAGGTTGTATTTTTGATTTTTGTGTTGCTTTATAATAATTAAAGTGCCATTCCATCAAAGATACTGGCGATGTAACTTCTGCCTCATCTGTTAAACAAAATGAGAACGTGCTGAATAACTTAATATAGATTTTACCCTTTAATAAATTACAAACCTGCACTAGTGAAAACACCAGGAGGAAGAATATCTGGTGGATACATTATCCATTTTTTTGATCCCCTGATAACTGCATTCCACGCTGATGTTGAGTTTGGATCCTTATGAAATGTTGATCCAGAGCGAGTTGGGCCGATTATGATCCATCTACTCATAAAAAATGGCTAAATCCTTTTTTTGGATATAATTCAAATTTTAATAATCAAGGATATAAATTTATACAATACCGAAAATCTGGTCTACTCTGTCCAAGAATATTAAAAAAATCTTGACTAAAATATTCTGGTACCAAGAAATCTTCAAGAATACCATTACATTTTTCCCCAAATTTTTTATCAAACAAGTATAATGGACTTTCATCTAGTGTGCTCGCACTGTACTGTACATAGTTTTTTAATTTTATGTTAATAGCTTCCGCACGAAAATGGATGTCCCCATATTTTTCTACAAGATATTTTATCGTCCATTTTTGAAATGCTGGCCATTGCGTCACTACATCTGTAATAATTACTGGTCTATTTTTTGCTGCATAGTTTGTATTAAATTCCTCCATGCTTAAGTTTGAACGACGATCAATTGTTTCTATACCCAAAAATTGATCCACTCCTGTCGAACTATTCAGGAATGGTTGAAAGAGAATATCACTATAAAAATGTGTTACATTTATCGCGGGTTTTATGAACGAATCTACATCATATTTAGGATCTGATCTTTTCAAATATGTTAACTTCCAACTACCGTACCACCACCAATCTCCATTAAACTTTCGAATTGTAAGCTGTTTCCATAAATCTTCAAAAGATACGAAACAGTATAAAACTTGGCTCGTAAAGCCTAAAGTTAATAATTCTTTTACATTAAAATATCCAAGAATTTCTAAAATTATTTCGTCTGTTAAATGCGCAAGCGCACCAAGACTTGTTTCTCGACGATTTTTACGAAATCCTTTTTCCGTAGAATCAATAAAATAATTACCCCATGGCATTATACCAAGTGGATGTCGTATCAAGGCTAATTTACTTTTTTTTAAACAATTAACATATTGGTCACTTAATGCACAATTCCCATTAAAATCATTATTTCGATCGCTTAATTTTCTTTTTATTGTTGTTTGTTGATGCATTATAAAATCGAAAATTTATTCATCAGTATTTTTATTTTACTTTTTGGGGTATTCAAAAATATATATATAATTTGGGGTAGCCACATGGCCAATCACATGAGTTGGTTAAAATCTAAAGAAAGAAATTGCTTATCCCAGTTGATTATAATCATTACAAAAATTCTCTTGCATGACTTCGATGGCCTATACTACATATTATATGTTCCACAAATTCCACAAATTCCACAAATCTATAGCTAGTATCGGCAATAGCTTGGTCTTAAAAATATTTGATCTTTTTAGTGATTAAAAAAAATCCGTTCTTTAAAAATAAAGGCCAAGTTTTTACCAACACTGATTATAACAAAATTTTCATTTTTCAATAACAATTTATGTATACTGTAGTCGCGAAATAATGCTTCAAATTGTTATTCGAAAATTATATTCTTTAAAATAAGTATTTTACTCCGTTTCGAAATAATATAATTTTATATTTAAATAAAAAATTTTATTAGTAGCAATTTCTTTTAAAAATATTATTATATAACTATTATAAAGAACTTTTATTTGCAATTTACTATAGTATATATCTGTATACAGTATTGTATAATATAATATTGTTTTTTAAAACTTTAATAAATCCACTTTTTGGTATAAATTATATTTTATAAGTTTGATTTTTTTTTTATATAAAAATTTTATTTAAAAAGATAACAAATTATTTAATTTTTTTTAAAAAAAGAAAAGTAAAAAATTAAATTTATACAGTACTGGATAGCAAAAGGCATTCACTTTTTATTAATAAAAACTTTAAATCATTATAACTTTTTTAATTAAAAAACCTTTTGACAAATTGATAGATATTTAGCTAAACTATATTTTTGTTAGAGGATTTTTTATTATTTTTTGTTTTAAATAAGTTTTTTTTTTCAAGAAAGTCATATTACAACTTTATTACTTAAGAAGATAGAAAGTGCAATTTGTATGAGCAAAATTACAATTGATTATCTAATTACGGCCAAGCCATCTTGTACTAAAGTGTAATTCACCCAGTTTTCAATTGGACCTATGTGTGACCTTCCAAGAGCAGAAGTAGTTATCAAGATCTACATTAAACTCTGAGTTCACAAATCACTGGTCAAGATCTACTAGCCCGTCATAATCACCTCTTTTCTTTAAATTTTTTCTATCTAGATCCTGATAAAAAGACTATTTAATAATCTATCTACAATGAATAAACCAAAAAAAAACAAAAAAAGAAAAAAAAAGAAAAAAGAGAACAAGTACAAATGAAAAAAAATAGGAGTAAAATATGCACTAATGAAATGAAGTAAAAAAAGAAAAAGATAGAAAAAACAAAAGAAAAGAGGTCAAAAGTCATAAACTATATACAAAAATGAAAGAGGTGCACTATTATAACCTGTATAAGGCTAAAAAAATTATATAGCAAATACAATATTTGTACATCTTTATTGTAAAGCTTTGCTTTAATCTTGGGTTTTTCTTTCTAACTATTTAACTGATTCTAGATAGTTTTGCTTGTGCCTATTCTAATCTGTATCTTAAGCCAGATGCTGCTGCTATCTGTAAATCTGTATTTCAAGCCACCTGCTGCCACCATTAGAAGTACTTTCTTCCTTATTAGAGGTTTCTTATTCAGGGCCTGTTTTTGTATAGTAGTGTCATATTTATAAATATGTAGTTGCAATCTAATAGACTATTTGAATTTGGAATATAAACAATGCTAAATTCCCACTTTTTGTGAAAAATTTTAAAAGACTGATGGAAGGGCGAAGATAAGTAAAAGAAAAGTTATTTGACTAAATAAAGAGTGTGGCTTAAAAGAAGCTAATTCTTTACTGTTCTTTAGTTATTTTGTAGTAGCTCTCTTTGTCAATGAAAGAGTCTTTGCTTTGGGTATTTTTTTTCATCAAAATTTTATATACAAAGGCATCACCTCCAGGTTGTTATACCTTGTCAATTATCTTATATATTAATGCTTCTAGCTTGCCTGCTAAATATATAAAAAATTTACCATGTTTTAACTATCTTCAGTAAAGAAAACTAGATTTTTTTTTTCATGAGAAAATTAGGCTAACTAATTGTTAGAAAAAGTTTTTCTATGTTTTAAAGAAGTTATTAAGAGTTAGTACTTCTACAAACTGGACTTGAACCAAACTTTAGTCAAGTCTGAGTCTGGTCTAATTTTCAAATCAGACTTAAACTTTTATATTTAGACTTTTTAGTCAAGTCTGAGTTTGGTCCAGGTTTAACTAAAGTTTGCAGACTGGTTTGAGTCCGAATATAATAGCTTGACCTGCACTTGAGTTATTTATGGGTAAGTCAAGTATCAGATTACAATTTTGTCAAATATAGTTATCAATTGGTTTTAACTTAGTTTTATTAGCTTTCAAAAGTTGTTTTTTCATTATTATTATTTTGATATATTTTATTTAACAAATGAGTTATTATTTTAATAATTTCTGTTTTTGTAGGTTGTTTATTAAAATCTTTATCTATACATTTAATAGCTAATTTAATATAACAATCTGGTTCTAAATATTTAGGTTTTGATTTACCAATAATTTTTGACTAAATGAAATTCCATCAAATACTCTTTGTTTAGCCAAAATCTTAGTTACAATAACTTCAAGACTATAAATATCTGATACTTGAGTATATGGTTGGCTTACTAAAACTTTGATGCTTTATATAGTGAAATTCTACAAATTTTTATTCCTCTACTTTTTTAGAAAGCCCAAGATTAGTAATATGTGCATTATGCAAATATTCTTGCAAAATGTTTCCACTATATAAGTTTTAGTAATCAAATTCCTATGAATTAATTAATTCAAAATCCAAAGCTATATAGTACAAGATATTTAATTTATTTTTCTATTCTGATTTTAATACTTTTACAAGATTTTGTTGTAATAAATGTTCCGATACAATCTGCAAAACAATAATATAATCATTATGATAATTTCTTGATACTCTATAACAGTTTAGAAATAAAAATTTTTTATAACCAATTTCACAGTAATTTTTTAATTTTTAAATAAATTCTTGTTTATTTTTGTTTGAATTATGAATTACTAATGTGCCTTATATATAGCTGTGAATTTCTTTTTCCAAGTTTTTAGAAATATATTATAATATTAATTTCTTATCATCTAATATTTTTTTAAGTTCTATACCAATACCATTTTGATATATTAAACATCACTTCTTTATTAACTATATTAATAGCTTTTCATAATATTCAAATATGTTATTGTAATCTTTATCAACTCTATTCTATTTTTATAACAAAAACCTATTCAGAAATATATAAATATTATGATATTAGAAAATGAAAGAAACTTTATATAAAGAAGCTTACAAACTAATATATATATGCAAATAAATTTATTATTAATATATAGAGAGTAGATAAATATATATAAAGTAAACAAATAAGATATTTATTACTAATAATCCCAAATTATTAAAGAATCTACTATATAAGATAAACTAAACCTATTAAAATTTTAACTATTAATTTGCTTAAACAAACTACAAAAACTAACAAAATTAAAATATTAAACCCAAATCTTCTTATTAAAGAGCCTATACCTATTTAAATTAAACAGAAATAAAAATAGTTTTGGATGAAAACATTTTTAGTTGCTAAAAGATTTTAAGAGTCAAAAGAATTAAAATAAAATAAATCAAAGTATAAAATAAATATTATCTTCACTTTATAGTATAATTTGATATAGTCCAAAAAGCAGTAAATAAAATTCACAGAGATTTTGATTATTACTGCATAGTGAAATACTAAAGCAAAAAATAGCTTTGCAGATTAGTGTTAGTGAAACATATTTCTAAAAAATACTTTAAAGTATATAAATAAGTTACCTGGGCAATGGCCAATCAGACTAGAGATGGGCAAAACGGTATTTTTTATATAATACATGTGCATAATATGCAGCATGCATGTATATTATATACAACATGGTTAAAATTCAAATCGACCTCAAAGTATTAATAAAAAATGTCGAGACGATTTACAATAATACTTATCCTGATTTATCTAAACTAAACTTTGTTAATTAACCATATGTATAACTGTATCTGGCCGGTATCTATATACTCAATCTTTTTTATTTTAAACTGATTAACTGCGTAAAGGTTGTACTGTAGTTTTTGGTCCTGAGTCAAAATATTAATTAATGTGGTGGATTAAAGTGAAATACGATTAAAATGAAATATTTACAATATAAAAAATAGACAATCTACCAAAAAATAAAAATTTTTGGTGTGCATTTTTTAGGGTTAGGGGTTAGGGTTAGAGGTTAGTTTTAGGTTATAATTTATAATAAACAAGTATAAGTAGGTTTTAAGTAGTTAAATAGAAACTCTTATTTCATTTTAATTATGATTCGTGATAATTAATAGTCAGTATGGTATTAATGCTTGCTGATTTAAACGATTAATTGCCAGAAAATTTTAGTTAGTCCAATTCTTAATCATTAATAACGAATTTATTTAAGGATTGTTGAATTTAGATAACTGATATTTAAATTGCGTGTGAAAAGGTTCAGTTTTAGTTTAAATTTGTAAAATCGTATACATTAAAATTCATTGATTTTATAATAGGTGTAAAGTCTTTATTACACTGCATAACTTTAGCAAACAATATAATGGATTTCGATATTAATAAATGCTTTACATTTATCCTTTTAACCAATTTTACTGGCATTTGCATCTAGAGTATTTAATGTTAATTATTTTCAACTTCGATTTTGCCTTTGTTCCCCTAATTCGTTTAATGAATGTTAATATATATATACGTGTTTTTTTTCTTTTTTTGATCCTAATTATATTCGTATTTGTTATTTTAACTTTAACCGTAATTCTGTTAACAATTCTCATTTAAACTGATTAATAAATGCAAATTAATTCTATACCAAAATTCCCAGCTTGATAGTAAATGCCTTATGTTCATTTGCTTAATCCTAATGCTAAATACACTAACATTTTCTATCTTAACACCTTACGTTTACCTTTTAATTCCAATTTTGATTAATGAATATTGTTGCATATTTTTTTGATTCCGGTGTTTCCATGTTTTTATTTCAGTATGCGTTTATCCTTTTAGCTCTAATTTTACAATTATAATGGATTAAATAGTAATTATCTCATATTCTGATCATATTTATTTAAGCTTTAATTTTATAGCAAAAAAATTCTTACCAAGAATACTTTACGCCTTTTCTGTTTTTCTGTAGTATTCATTATTCACTTTCACTATCCATATCACTTTCAGTTGCTGATTCTATTTCTGATTCAGATGACTCCACAATCTTATTTTCATTATTACTTTCTAATAATTCACCTTTACTACTATCGTCTTCATTACTATTAGGGTCTAATAATTCAAATTTATCATTTTCATCATTAGGTCTATTATTATAACGTATTACTGCCTCTGTTATATCTGGAAATTCTAATTTCAGACATGTAAGTTTATAATTGCTGTATATGTATACTAATTTTAAAACTCGTCGTGGTGTTAACCGATTTCTTTTTTTATCATGAATATAGGAAAAGTTTGACCAATTTCACTCAGCAGCGGCAGATGAAGTTGGAATATTAAGAATTCTAGATGCGACCTTACATAATTCAGGTGATGATTCCTTAAAATTTCCCTCCCACCATGTAATCGGATCTACTTCATCTACTGCTTTCCAGGCTAAATTCAGATTAAACACACCAGATTGAGTTTTATATTGAAGTAATTGTCACCAAATAATGTCTGCTTCATTCGGGTAATATTTTTGAATAAATATAGAAATAGTTGACATGCCATTAGCTGGAAGTTTTCTTCCACAGTATTGTGGATCTAACAGATGAGCTACAGACATTACAAATTGATATATTTTTTTCCATCTGTTCTCTAATAAAGTTTTAATCCTAGAGCCTACTGCAGGAAAAATATAAACTAAAATAATATAAATAAATTTATTAATAAATCTATAAGTATATATTTTAACAGATTTTACCACGAAATCTCATTTTAACAAATATTTGCTTACTGTCCGATTCTAATTGCTCGTGATACCAATTATAAAATAGTGCTAATTTCGGTGTATCAGATTCGAAAGTAGCTATGCCTACAACTAATTTATCTAATACGATTAGTAATGATTCAATATCTTTCCAAAAATTATCATTGTTTATAGTATCACTAACAGTATTAGGTATCATGATATGATTGTTATAAGATAACTCAGTAATAGTTAGCTTAAGTGCAAGTTGATTTTGAACAAGCGAATTAAAGCAAGTTGCTAAAGACCCCATCATGTTTTAACTGGAAATTTAAAAGACCTTCATCGATCATATGAAGCTAATTGGTGCCGTTTTAATATAGCATTTGGAATTTGATATCTTCGAAAATATTTAACTATTATTTTGGCTTTTTTAAATATATTTGCACTCCACGATAATTTCATTATATCACCAACTAAGAGATTTAAGCTATGCGCAATACAACCTAAAAACAAAATTTCAGAATAATCTATTTCTAACAAATGCCAAGCTTTTTTCATTACAGATGCATTATCTGTAACAATAGCTGAGATCTTTGATGTGCCTACTTCAACTATGATATTTTCTAAATTATTAGCAATTGTTTCACTATTTTGACGTATCTCATTAGTTGGATAAGCTGTATAGAATACTGGTTTTGGCGTTGTCAAAATATAGTTAGTCCAATGCTCTTGTACTAAATTAGACCATCCATCTAAAATAAGACACAGGTTTTTGCCATTATTAATTAAGGCTTCAACATTTTTTTTTGTTTCATTGTAGATATTATCTAATAAACTTGTTGAAAGCTTTTTTCAACTAGGTAACTTGAATGCTGGCCGTGCTTGCTTCCACAATTTTTTGATCGGTTCTATCTCAGGTAAAGATAAGAATAGGCCACATTGAAATATTGATCGTGCAAATTCTAACTCAAGTGACTTTTGTTCTATATTAAACATACGATCAGCTGTGATATAACTTGTAATGTGAGCTCTACTTGTATTTTTACAATATACTCTTTCACTAGGCATAGATGAAGTTGGTATAATTAAAGAAGCAGACGATGATGATGTTGATGTAACTAAAGCAGATGTAGACGTTGATACCACTGAAGCAGACACATTAGGTACATTTATGGATATATTATTACTGTTTTCTTATTCACCAAAATAATTATTTTTTTGCTCGAATATAACTAGCTCACAGTGTCGAAAATGGGTACGTGCAGATCTAAGAGAATCATTAATCTGTTGTTAACAATATTTACATTCTCTTTGTTTTTGTCTAAACCTAGTTGCATGTCCTAATTGAATAAAATGAATCCATATTGGATCGGGCATTTTTTTTAAAAATTTACATTCTAAACTTTGATTCAAAATTTATTTACTAATTAAAAAAAAAAACTTTAATTGAATACTAGCGTAATAACTTGCTTATCCAAGACAAATATTTACTATAATGCATTAAAAAAACTGGATTCATGACATGTTTTGCACAAAAATTAGACCTATTTCGGCAAAAAAAATTTTGAATAAACTACTCACCACTAGTCACACAATTTCATCCAGTTAGTTCTGGTATTCTTCAAGTTCAATTAATAATCAATCAATTGATTTAGTAACAACACAGTATAATAAGTCTGGTGTTATGCAAATTTTTATTAACATGTAATTGTTGCTTCATAATCATGTGCGTGAGAATCCATGATTACATTTATCGTAATAATTCATTAACTATATTTTTGATTAATAATATAGCATAACTGAATTGGGTATAGTATAGGGAATACTGTAAATATATAAAAGTAGCTCTTTATTAATAAAATAGGAGGATAAGTTAGTCAAGATAGAAAAGAGAGTTAAGTTAGATGGCGAGTTAGACAGATAACTAAATGAAGAGACGTTAACGGTTATTAATGATTGTCTCAATGATTATACTTTCTTTAATTTCCAACTATCATTAAACCCGAACTCCTAAATAAACATTCTTCCTACATAACTTATGCAACGCCCAAAGCTAATCTGCTTAAGCCCATTTATCGCTCTCTCAAACCTGGGCATTACACCAGAACAAGTAATTGCAGCCTTATTTGAAATCTGCCAAGGTATAATATGTCTGGAACAAGTAATTAGCCTAATTTGAGATCTGCTAAGCCGATATGATCAAAATGGTCAATTCAGAAGGATTCCGATTAGCTCACTAACAGTCATTTTATTGAAAGTTTATTTAGCTGACATCACATAGAGTTAGGGTTAAATATTTATTAGTTGCAGATATTATATTTTTACCAAATTTCACCTAACATGATGTTGGCTAAATGAGCTGTTGGTGTTACTGTCGGTGAGTTAATTAGAATCCTTTAAAATTAAAATGTTTTTTAAAACATATAAATTCATTACCCGTGCACTTTTCATTTATTCAATAATATATCTGTTCTTCGATAATGTGCTACTATAAATAAATTGTTTAGAACACCAAGAAGATCGGATTAGTGCGTTAATTATTAACAATACCAATATTATATAAAACTTACATCTGCGTACTAAAAAATGGTTATCTCATGAATTTTTGTATTATAAAGGGGTTTTCAACCTATTTTAATAGCAAATTCTGACTTTAATCTAACAACAAAAATGTTTTTAGAAAAATTTTTTAATTGTTAACATTAGAATCATATGCTAAAAATCAAAAATCAGCAAAGACAGATTATGATATAGTGTTTTTGCTTCGAGACAGATTTTTGTTTTTTATATAGCTGATCTAGAAATTTGATTGATTAGCCGAATTTTCTTAGGTGGTAGCATATTGCTGCTATACAAATTTAATCAAACCATGTGCATGCATGAATGCATGTATGCATGCATTCATGCGCATGATGCCTATCTCTAAATCAGACGAATGTTTTCTATGAGGTTCGAAGTTTACAAATATCCAGATCAGTCTGGTATGTTTTTTTATAGCTTAGTTTATTATGTATGCAGATTTGTTATATAATAAGCTAAGTTATAAAAAACATACTGTAGATTCCTGAAAATAAGCTATCTTTTTTGGATCAAAAATTATATGAAAATTTCAGAAGTAGCTTATTTTCGAGTAATAGAGGTTTTTAACTATTTTTTATTAAGTAAAAGTAGTTTCTATATATAAAAGCCAAAATTGTACTAAATAAATATATGTTTTAAACTTAGAAAAAGTTGTTCAAAATTTAAAAATACACATATTTTAAAATTTTTATACAATTTGAATAATTTTTTATTAGTACATTTTTGCATTTTAAATTTGAACTTAAAGTGCAAAAATGTATTAATAAAAAGCTATTCAAATTGTATGAAACTTTTAAAATATATGTATTTTTAAATTCTAACCAACTTTTATTAAATTCAAAATATATATTTACTTAGTACAATTTTGACTTATATATATAACAACTATTAAAAATTTTTAAAAAATTCAGGGAGTAGCTTATTTTCAAATAAAAAAAATTTCTTAGTTTTTTGCTCAAAAGTGAGAGGGTAGCTTATTTTCGAAGTACAGTCAGATCTCTCTAAATATACATTATCAGGACTAGCTCTAGCATGTGCATTTAGAGAGGTATTTTATTTAGAAAGGTAAAAACCTATAGATATAATATTAATTGAGCCCAAAAGAAGGTATATATTTAGAGAGGTCTAATTATAGCTTATTTTTGGGAATATATGGTAC